AGGGTTTAGGGTTTAGGTTCTTTTGTATCGAAATTTGACAAACTTTCGAAGAGTGCTTTCAGGTTGCATAGAGCTTGCTACTTCGTGAGGGCTTTGCAAGGGTGTTAAGACGTCTCATAAAGATTTGAGGGCTTCGTAGTGATTTTGAAGGATTTCTACGGGTATCAAAGGCTTTATAGGAAGAATTTGGAAGCATGGGATCTCAAGCAAGGTTCCTGAGGCTGTATAGGGATTTTCAAGGGCTCTGCAGTTTTGTGCCAGCTTGAAGGGTGTCTAATTAAGGGTCTGGAGTAGCGTTTCGGGTTTGGGGTGTACTGCTCAGTGCGGACTGGGCAGTAAGGCCTAAACCCTAAACCCTAAACCCTAAACGCTAAACCCAAACCCAGTTTGGGCTTGGGGTGGCCGCGGTGCTAGGCTGAGGATCGGGAAATTGCGACGATCAGGCCTGAAGTCTGCAGTAGGTCCCTAACCCTGAGCCCTAAACTCATAAACTCCTATAAACCCTAAGCCCTAAACCCTAAACCCCTAAACCTCTGAACACAAATTCTCCGGGTCCCTAAACCCCTAAACCCTAAACTTCTAAACCCAAATTCTCTGGGTTTCACCCTCGCTGGCTTAGGTCGCAGGGTCTTCTACGAGTTCCACCAACCATCCTCTCAGGATGTTTGAGGGTTTTGGGTTCAGGGTTTAGGGTTTTGGGTTCAGAGTTTAGGATTTAGGGTCGTCTTGGGTTTATGGTTTGGGGTTTAGGGCTTCGGGTTTACCTGGAACCTACTAGCCTACCTTTTTTGGGGCTGCTCATGATGACTTCCTTCTATAAGTCCCTAAGAAGGTAGGTCATTCCGGGTCCAGGCAGGTTTTAGGGCTTCAGAGTGTTGGATTTTAAGGTTCACATAAAATTCATCTTGCTGGGCGTCATGTGCGGCGCAGACGCCCTCTAAGACTTAGATGCACAAAACAACTCCTCAGAATTCATCAAGATAATGTAGAGGCCTTCATAATTTGAATGGGGTTTCGTGTCCCATGATACTATAATAAAAAAGGAGCCCGCAAATTAATATAGGCAATTATTAAGGCCCCTATCTCAACCATTGTGGGAAACTCCCCAACACTCGACTGCTTCATCGGGCTGCGATGTATGTTCTTCCTAACCCTCCCCTGAACGCTGAACCCTAAACCCTAAACCCTAAACCCTAAACCCCTAAACCCTAAACCCAAACCCCTAAACCCTAAACCTGGAAGCACCTGCACGTCGGCCGAGGCCAGGCCGTCAAAGTTGCGAACTTGAAACACCACTGTGTCCCCCTCCGACATGTTCAAGGTGTCCTGGTTTAGGGCTTTTTTTTTCAGGGTTTAGGGTGTCCTGGTTTAGGGTTTAGGGGCCCTCCGACATGTTCAAGGTGTCCTAATTTAGGGTTTTTGTTAGGGTTTAGGGCTTAAGGTTTAGGGTTTAGGGCTTCCTGGGAGGTTCACGGTGTAGGGTTTTGGGCCCCTCCGACATGTCTAACGTCTCCTGGAGGTTCGAGGAGTTTGGGTTTCTTTGTGAAGTGTTCATTATGAGGTCTACAGCGTTTAGGGCTTTAGCGCTTTAGGGTTTGGGGGGGTTGAGGGTTGGGGAGCTCAAACTTTGGGAGTTCCAGAGAATTGGAAGAGGGATGCTGCTGTTGCGATTCTGAGATTTTTGCGCAGTGAGTCTAAGATGGCACTCCCAGTAGCTGGATCGATAGGTAGACCCCAGTCGACAGCAGTGTGAGCTACTGTCACAGATGGTAGTAACACCGCAAACCCTATGTATAGAGATCTGTGGGTACATTGGGTCCAAGATAAGAAGCCAATTCCCAAACCACGGAAAGCAGGTCGTACAGATGAGACACCTCTCACACGGAAGCCTCAACTATAGAAGCCAGTACACCCCTGGATTCGTGGCTTAGGGGTTTAGGGTTGTGGGCTACATTTCTTTTGATTCATTTGGGAGGGGAGCTTTCTTCAAGTGGGGTTAAGATCGAAGCAACGGTCCTCTCCGTTCACGAGCACGCTGTCGATGAAGGGGGTCTGATCCTTCCGCACGGGCGTTAGACGGGTTCGGTTCTACCTATAGTCCCATTGTAGTTCCTTTTTTTGGTTCAACCAAATATATATATATATATATATATATATATATATACATTAAGGATTTTTATCAGGTATCCCCCCAAAAGGAACTACAATGGAGACTGTAGGTACACTTCTATAGGGCTCATTAGGGTTGTACGGTACATGGTTTCGGGGCTTATTTCGGGTTAGGCATCGTTTCGGGTTTAGGGTTCAAGGGTAGCTTTGGTGGCACAGATACTGTGATACGACTCCAGCAATCCACCGCAGCTATGTAAAGGTTCTAAGAGCACCCCTAAACCCTAAACCCCTAA